AAAAACTCATGTTTTCTACACAAAAATAATAGAAAAGACTAGGTTGGAATACACCCCTGGAAGTCATCTTCTCCATCTTCTTGTTGACAGTAGAGCTTTAAATTAGGTTATCCAATACCCTTTCCCACTGAGTCTTGAATGGCTCCAGGGAGAAAGATTCCACCACTTTTCTGGCCAACCTATTCCTATGTTTTCAGTAATGTAGTTCATAAATATTTCCATCTCCTGGAGCATAAGACTTTACTACTGACAGGTTTCCTAAATGTCTGTCTGAAAACAGTGTTTTTAAATGCAATGTATAAATTTAGCTGTGGAGCTCTTATCAATGCCTATAGACAAGTACACTCATCCTTCTTTATTGTAGGCTAAGACCTTACAATGATAAAGAAAAGATCTTATTGTGCCCAGCAAAAGCAGTATGAAATGGAGACCCAGGAAAGTAGTGGTACAGTCTTCCCTTAGATTTCCAGGTAGGAGCTTAGATTCTTTATGAATGTGATAGAGAGGTAGGCTCTTCTAGAGGGCTAAGCAGTCAAATTCCTATTTCTCTCCATTGTCTGTGTAAAAGGAATCCTGCATTACTTCTAAGTATACCTCAGTCTGGCTAAGTATATCATGAAAGATAGCTGTTATATTTATGATTTGGGGAAGAAAAAGCATAACTACTTGTCACCAGCACTATTGAATCAATGGGTACTAACTTGCAGCTGCAGTAGGTTTTCACCACTAATTCCTTTCATTAACTACAGCCTGGCAAACAGTGTGTCTCAGTAAGAATGACCATCCATTTGCAACAATAGCTTTATTCTATATTATTTGTAACTTGCTTTTGAAATAAGTACAGAAAGATGTTTGTTATAAATTGTGTAAAGGGGCAGAAGCCCACACCTAATCTTACACAATGAACACTTTTCACATGGAAAAATAAAATAATTTTGCTTCCTCTTTCCTGCCAGTATAACGCACTTCACTGGGTGGAAACGGTTCTGTTCAGTTCTTGCTGGAGTTAACACTGCTCTACTGAAAAATAAGCAGCAGGTGGTGCTGTATATTTCCTATTTAAGTATTTGGTACATCCATCAAGGAAAAAAAAAAGAAAAAAAAAAAGAGTTCTTAATTAGGTGTTAAGAACAGCCAGCACAAAATTTCAGCAAGATTTTTTAAGGCTTCCTTAGGGAGGGGGAAAAAAAAAGTGCTTTTCGGAATCAAGTGTGTAAATTATAATCTCTGTATAAGTAAAACGTTAGCTATCTTGAGTTCAGTGACAGTTTCTACTGTAGCATAAATAATAAAGATGTCGTTGTTTGACAGAGCAGTAAGTTAACCAACTGCTTCCGGCTATGTTTCAGACCACACCTGCTTGTGAAAGGAAATAGTTGATTTAAACCTGTTCTGTATAAAGGCAGCGTAGAGAACAGGTTCAACAAATGTACTCAGCTTTTCCGTTCTGCTGTATTTGAACACAGCAAAATAGGATTTTCTCCTCCTTGCGCAGTTCCGGTGGTGTGTGTGAACTGAGTGGGTGATCTGTGTGTGTGCTGTGCATGAGAGAGCATGTGTTCTCAGGGCTAGAGGAAGGAGGACTTTAGAATACAATAAATTATATTGTTCAACCTCCCTGAGGTTGCCGGGTGTGGGGATAGCTCCACGGAACGCATACCTTGCCTGGATTCAGAAAACAACCACTTTTCCTTCCCCTAGGTAGGATGCCACATCCCGTGTCGCCTTGAAGCGCCCAAGCCTGGAAGCACGAGCACAGCTCCTTCTGGGGCCTACCGTGAGCGTAACTACTCCTGGTGGGGTTTTTGTGTGCTGGGATTTTTCTTAAGACAAAGAAAGCCATGAGGAAGAGATGAAAAGCATGGTCTGATCGTTGTCTACTACCAAATGTCTATTTATGCCCAAATGAAAAGGAGAACCTGAGCATCGAGGAAAATATTAACCCAGTGTTTCCATGTGACCTTTGTCCAACCAATTGATAGTGTTTTGAGGGGTTAATCTGTTTGTTTTATCTATCTGCTAAAAGCCCTGATACATTATCATTCTTGTGTCAGCTCGTTCTGGGAACGCTTTTTTGTGCGATAGGTAATTTCAGTTAAATATTATTTTTACTATAGTATAAATAATATGAAATAACTTGAAGTAGGGCCAGAGATGGAGCTGGTAAATAAGGTGATCTTCCTTTTCTTGCTAGCCTCTCCCAGTTTCGTGATACACAGAGGATTAGCTCAGAAACTTATTTCCATTGCTGGACCCAGGGAGCTAGAAGACAATCTGCATCTGCACAACCAAGTCCTATCCGAGGAAACTCAGGCCCCTGCTGGAGGCGAAGCCCACGACGACCTGTGCCAACGGGATCCTTTGGCTTCCGAGCTACCCCGCTACCTCTCCCAGCTCCGCGAGGCCGGGGCGACGCACTACAAAGTCTTCCTGCCATGGGGCTGCCTCCTGCCA